TGCTTTCCTATGGACGTTCAGCGTCTTCTCACTGTGATTTTCAGAGTGAGAATCGCAGAAGCTCCTCTAGCGGCTGTCAATGAGACAGCCACTAGAGGCTGGATTAACCCTCAGTGAAACATAGCCGTTTCTCTGAAACTGCTATGTTTTCAGCTGCAGGGTTAAAACTAGAGGCACCTGACACCCAGACAACTTCATTGAGTTGATGTGATCTGGGTGTCTGTAGTGGTCCTTTAAGTGTATGTGTATCTGCATGCACTGGCGTACATACCGCCATGTGTTGCGGCCCCAGCCCACGCAGAGTAAGCGTGCGCAGGGGGGGAGGGGCCACGGATCCGTTTTCGCACCGGGGCCCCGTGGGTTGTGTGTACACCACTGGTTGCGGCACAGCCCAATTCTACAAGAACATTCCGGTTTTAAGATTTTGAGAAAAAGATAGAGAGGCAGGGAGATCCATCTTTAAAGCAGATTTGTGTGTGTGTGTGTATAGAAGTTTATGTGTGTGTGTATATATAGGAGTGTGTAGCTGTGTGTGTGTGTGTATATATATATATATATACAGGAGTGTGTAGCTATGTGTATGGGTATATATCTATATAGAGGTGTGCAGCTGTGTGTGTAAATCTGAATGTGTGTGTGTGTATAGATATTCGCGACATCTCTAGTGGCTAGAGGTTTTAACGCTATGGTACATTCAAAGAATGAACATAATACATTGTTCTTTGAGCCCGCCATTGACTAATTCTTTGGGTATGTCCACTACTTTTGCTTAGGAGAAGATTAAGTCGGTCCTCTTCTTTTTGTGAAGTTGTTTTCTGCAGATAAACATTAGACAGACTCCTTCTGGGATATTTAAAGAAATGCTATGGGACTGGTGTTTGAAGAATTCCTAGAAAGGCTGGAGGAAGTAAATAAATAGGCGCATGTTGTGTAACCACACTCCAGTGCACTGCGAACAGCGCGCATGTGATAGTGTCACCAGAGGCTGTATTGCCCAATCCCTTAAAGTGACACTGATTTTTTAAAAGAAAAATGTAGCCAGTCTGGTCCAATAATGATGTGTTTCTATGCAGATACACCCTGCTTGACACTCACAGCTTTGTACGTCACAGCTGATCTGGCTGCAGGCACATAATATGCAGCCGATCCTCACAGATAACAGAGCATACCTGTCAGATCCACTCAGGCAGATTAATTTTGTTACAGCTCTAATTTTATTTTCTCTCTCTTTTGCTGATTAATTATGTACATAATACTCATATATCACTACAGAAAACATTTATACATTTTAAACTGGGCTCTTTGGGATAAATATAATTGTATGAACGAGGGACCTTGAACGCTGGCCTACAGAATCATGGGTGTTGTAGTATCTAAGCAACATTTAGGGGGGCCTAAAATAAACCTTTGCAGGTAGTATCCTTGAGGCACCCTAGGCTCGCTATACTTACAGGGTCGTACAGAGCAAACTTTTATTTGGTTACATTTAACTAAAATCTAACACTGTTTCTGAGACTAAGAATTTCGAACCCTTATGTTTTTACTGCCTCTTCCTTCTCAGCGTACAGCTCCCAAAATTTCTAATTGAAAAAGAGGGACACTTTAATTTTTGGGTCAAGGGGGGTGTTCTGAGACATTTTAGGTAATTTAATAATAACAATTTATAGAGCTAAAATGTAATTTAGAACAAGAACAAAGTATTTTATTTACACAGACTGATTTTAGTAGTTTAAAGACACATTACTGGGAGTATTATTGCTGTGGAGCTCTGTTATATCACATTACTGGGAGTATTATTGCTGTGGAGCTCTGTGATACACTCAGATACATTACTGGCAGTATTATTGCTGTGGAGCTCTGTTATACACTCAGACACATTACTGGGAGTATTATTGCTGTGGAGCTCTGTGATACACTCAGACACATTACTGGCAGTATTATTGCTGTGGAGCTCTGTTATACACTCAGACACATTACTGGCAGTATTATTGCTGTGGAGCTCTGTTATACACTCAGACACATTACTGAGAGTAATATCGCTGTGGGGCTCTGTTATATGACATTACTGGGAGTATTATTGCTGTGGAGCTTTGTGATACACTCAGACACATTACTGGGAGTATTATTGCTGTGGAGCTCTGCTATACACTCAGACACATTACTTGGTTTGTATTATTGTTGCGGAGCTCTGTTATACACTCAGACACATTACTGGGAGTAGTATTGCTGTGGAACTCTGTTATACACTCAGACACATTACTGGGAGTATTGTTGCTATGGAGCTCTGTTATACACTCAGACACATTACTGGGAGTATTATTGCTGTGGAGCTCTGTCATACACTCAGACACGTTACTGGGAGTATTATTGCTGTGGAGCTCTGTCATACACGCAGACACATTACAGGGAGTATTATTGCTGTGGAGCTCTGTGGACACATTACAGGGAGTATTTTAGCTGTGGGGCTCTGTTATACACTCAGACACATTACTGGGAGTATTATTGCTGTGGAGCTCTGTTATACACTCAGACACATTACAGGAAGTATTATTGCTGTGGAGCTCTGTTATACACCCAAACACATTACTGGGAGTAATATCGCTGTGGGGCTCTGTTATATCACATTACTGGGAGTATTATCGCTGTGGGGCTCTGTTATATCCCATTACTTTGAGTATTATTGCTGTGGAGCTTTGTGATACACTCAGACACATTACTGTGAGTATTATTACTGTGGAGCTCTGTTATACACTCAGACACATTACTGGGAGTATTATTGCTGTGGAGCTCTGCTATACACTCAGACACATTACTTGGTTTGTATTATTGTTGTGGAGCTCTGTTATACACTCAGACACATTACTGGGAGTATTATTGCTGTGGAGCTCTGTCATACACTCAGACACATTACAGGGAGTATTATTGCTGTGGAGCTCTGTTATACACTCAGACACATTACTGGGAGTATTATTGCTGTGGAGCTCTGTGGACACATTACAGGGAGTATTTTAGCTGTGGGGCTCTGTTATACACTCAGACACATTACTGGGAGTATTATTGCTGCGGAGCTCTGTTATACACTCAGACAAATTACTGGGAGTATTATTGCTGTGGAGCTCTGTTATACACTCAGACACATTACTGGGAGTATTATTGCTGTGGAGCTCTGTTATACACTCAGACACATTACTGGGAGTATTATTGCTGTGGAGCTCTGTTATACGCTCAGACACATTACCGGGAGTATTATTGCTGTGGAGCTCTGTTATACACTCAGACACATTACTGGGAGTATTATAGCTGTGGGGCTCTGTTATACACTCAGACACACCAACAGTATGGAGCTCATAGAAAAGAGGGACATTAGGATAGAAAAGAGTTACAGATAGATTAAGGCCTGAAACAGGGACTGTCCCTCCTAAATAGGGACACTTGGGAGGTAAGGCAGAGCGTGCCTTGTATACCGCTGCAAGTGCAGGCTGCTAATGTTGGAAAAATAATGGATATATGCACTGCTATAAAGATTAGTGCTGGGGTATTGCAATGTTGGCCAGGTAGCAAACAGGCAGTATTCTTTATGCTTCATTTCATTCTTGAAAACCTGTGAGGTTATTATTACCGATCAGATGGTTCTGTAGAGAAGCATTGTGACACACAGCACAGCTATAGCCATCACTGAGATGCACCAACATTGCTTTCCATAGAGAAGCATTGAAACTAAGGCCTCGATATGAGGTTAACTGCTGATTCCGTAGCACTGTACAATGGATGCACAAGTGACCTGTACGAGATGACATCTTACACACACTAAATCTTCCCTTTCCTAGGATTTAATTACACTGTTACTTGTGAGAAATTTGAAAAAAACTTAAGATGGCAGCGGTCATCACACTACGCGAGCAGAGTCTGCTACCTAATCAAAAGATCCACAGCGACACCATGCAGCGTCTGGACACAATATTTACTCGCTTCTGGAACAGGCTCTGGGAGCAGCAGCGGGAAACCCAGACAGAGCTACAAAAACTATCGACACCGCAGGCACTGAGGAGTGAGGGAGGTACCCTCGGGCATAGCTTTGGTACAACCAACCACTCCTACTCTTCTTAGCCCACTCGGACTGAAGGCCAAGAGGGTGAAAACCCAGAAACATCGCCTACAATTACTGAGGTCCGCATGCAGCAAGTGGCAGAACACCACCAAACCCTCCGACACTCCCACACGTGGAGGAACCTCGTGCTCCAGAAGTCACCGAGGTTGTGGCCAGGAAATGCAGGCCTATTCACCAAACTGGGGCTGGAGGGATACCCTCGCTAGTTCCTGTGCAGTAGCTGTCTCCCCCGGCCTTCCAGCAGGATAACAGAGACACTCTGACTCACGCCTCCAGCACTTTCTCTGCTGGGCCATCATGCCGTTAGTTCATATTACTACATGTGATTTTATGTTATTTCATGTTATATTAGCTAGGCTGTCACACACCACCATGACTGGAAAACATAGGGAGCAGAAGGCCTTCTCGCTAAAACTCAAGAGCACAGTGAACCTACTATTCATCATAGCCAGTTATATCTTCTCACATATTATTTTATGCATTGTTAGCCCATGTTGCTTCGTATTAGACCCACTCATAATGAGCACGCCACATTTAACCCATATGAACCTACATGTTTTACCGAATCTATCTATTATAAAATTGTGAAATCTTTCTAATACCCCAAATCTAGAGCATGTTATTTTGCCTGAGGAATGCCGTTGGGGTACCTTGTGCATGTATGTTATAATCAAATGCACAGCAAAAATACTAAATAAATTATTATATAATTTATTTTTAAATACACCACAATTCAGTTTACTGAAGAACCTGTCAGGATTATAGGTCAAAATAGATGAATTGTAACCCTATGGAACAAGCGCAGCTTAGTGGAAAGGGGCCTTGACAGAGCTAGGAGGCGGGCATAGGGGGAAGACCCCCAGGGTTTTTGAGTTGGATTGTAAGGGGCTGTCCTAGGATAAATAGGTATCCATTTTAGATAAGGCACTTTTAATCTGCCTGGCCTAATTTGGCCTAATTTGGCCCTCCCAAGTTAGCAGGGCGTTTGGAGGTGCTTAGTTCCCGTTTAGTCACAGCAGCGGGGCTAGAGAGCAGAAAGTTAGGGGACAAAAAAGGCTCTGGGTTAGTTCAAATAGAATAGGGCAGTTAGGCTGCTGATTAAAGGGACACTCCCACTACCCTTAACCCTGCAAGTGTAATTATTGCAGTTTTTATAAACTGCAATATTTACCTTGCAGGATTAACTCCTCCTCTAGTGGCTGTCTACTACACAGCCACTAGAGGGCACTTCATTTTTTTCTGTGCTATAGTGTTGCTGGACGTCCTCACGCTGTGTGAGGACCTCCAGCGTCGCTAAAATCCCCATAGGAAAACATTGAAAGAATTTTCAATGCTTTCCTATAGGGAGGTCTAATGCTCGTGCGCGGGGACGGGGAGGAGCGTGGGCGGACCAAGAAGCAACGGCGAGGGACATTGTTTTCCTGGCACTGGACTGTCCCTTTAAGAGGTTGGTTAAAATGGTTCGTTATGAACTTTGGTAGGTTTCGTTTTTGGTAGGTGGCTCAGAACCAGGTGGGTGGTAGAGATATCTGGGTGGTTAGTTAACAAAGTTGTGGCACTTTATATTATGTTTATGATGATTATTATTATTGTTATTTATGTTATTTTTATTTTTACTGTTCAAAAATTGGTCATTGCCTTTTGATACGGGGACATGTGGTGTTATATAGCGGGGCTTGGGGGGTAATGATTTTAATTATATTATGTTTATTATTATTAATAAAAGCTGTGGACATAATTGACCCATATATTAGTGTCATTGTTTTATTGGGTTAGGTATTATGGGGGTAATTCCACCTGCCCATATGGTGATTATGCGTCTGTCATGGAAAATGTTTACCATCCAGATAATTCCTGGTACAGTGAATAAACCTAAACTTACTTGCTAAAGGCCAAATTATACATATGACAACAAGAATGATCAAGCACAAAAAAACATTTTTTTTTATCAGTGTGTCATGTTGAATAGCAGCAACATTCTGTCAGAAGTTTTTCTTCCCGGACAATGTAGGGGGAACTTAAATAATTGGAAATAATTGGGAGTAGTACTTCCAGTAGTTGGGAAATATATGCAAAGCAAAATCAAAAAGATCCAATGGAAACTAAATATTACAAATAAAAGGATTTACTTCTATTTTACAGAGCTTCAGGCCAGCTCTGGGGTTTAATCTTGCGTGGTACAATCCCTTCCTTGGCATACTTCACGTTAGTAGGGTATAAATGGCAATAATAATAATAATAATAATATTAATATTAGAGATGGCAAAAAAGAACAAGAATGATATAGTGTTGTGTGTTTCAATATATGGATACTTGTATTCATATATGCCCTTGCTTATGCACTCACATGTTCATGAGCTAAATGTGGCTCAAATAAAACAACATGAAGTGGTGTAATCCCCACTCAAGGATAATAATCTGTGTTAACATGAAAAAAAAAATGCAGTAATACAGTGTCTCTGGAGGTATAGGTCAGTGTGATATAAAAGCTAAAAACGACATTATTGTACTATACAAAAATAATAAAAAATGTAAAAAGTTCACTAACCCGTTTCACCTTAATAAAAGGTTTTCACAGAGTGTCTAAAGTACCCTGGCATCTATTCTATTATTCAGACAATGAAAAATAAAAAGTTTGTGCCAAAATGGTGTCATGGTCACGTGATTGTGACGTGGAGATGTAATGGGCTGAAAACTGTGGCAAGATTAAAGTAAACGTCATAGAATATTTCACAAATATAATATATAGAAATGTATGTATTCAAGCTGATTCATCTAAAAACAGCTGGCAAAAGCTGCAGAACTCTTGTATGAAAGCTTTGCCCCTTTCTTCTTCATCAAACTAGACTTCCCAATGCAGCTCAATGAGAAGTGTTTGCAAGGTAGGTGCTCTGAGCAATTACTGCCTCTTGAGTTTATCTCCACTGAGCTAACCAAACCAGGAAGTAATGTGATATGCTGTCTTATTGACAGCCAGGAGGATGTAACAAGGTTAAATAATAAAAGTGCCAATTACTATTGAAATCTATACTTTATGTAAAATGATAGGAGGACACACTCTTCATACATAAAGCACTTTACAAGCTAAAGGACCAATACACTAAACGACTTGCTTCCAGACAAAGCAGATCTTTTATTCACGGCAGAGTACATGAATTAAGAAAACATTCTCTTATTTAAATTTCTATAATTGATACAAACTCTTACTGAATCATTCTTCTTTCTCATCACCACTATAGGTGAGGCATATGGACTTCTGGACTCTTGAATGATCCCAGATTCCTCCATTTCATAAAGTATATTTCTCACATCTTCAGCATCTCACAAAGCAATTCTTCTAGATCGTTCGTGAAGAGGAGTAGGGTCACTAAGCCGAATGGTATACTGAGCACTTTTAGCACAACCCACATCCATATCCCCTGTAGAGAAAACCCCCTCTGTTAAATGGGGAGCTTGCAATAATCTTTCTTCCCACCCTTCTGGCAAATTTGAACCTTCAGTTCTTTAGATGACTCTCCTTTAATTTCTAGGGTCATAGCAGATATAGGGGCTCTTTCTTTTTTTTTAACGTCTTTATTTCTTTTATTTTTGCATTATGATGATCACAGTCACAAAGTTGCGGTAACAATACAATGACATAGAGACTGTGATACAATGTAAGGTTTCAAAAGGCAGAATGACAAACAAGCCCCGTCAATAGCTCGTAGCCATCTACAATATTATTTTGTGGAACAAGTACCACATCAATGAAGACACAACAAATGTTCCAACCTTACTAAAGTTGAAAAACTTGCGTTGGGTGAATTACGTAACGATGTGTCCTTGACCATCCAGCTAGCTGATAGGGGCAGGGCTTTGGTGGTCATGGACACAGCCAAATATGATGCAGAAATTGTTAGACAACTGACTGATGTAGATACATATTAGATTAACAGATGAGATAGTACAGGACATCATTAGTATAGTTGAGGAAGCTAACAAACAGGGAATAATTGATAAAAAAAAACTAAAAAAAATTCTAATTAAGACCGATCCTTTTGTCCCTCTATTTTACGTGCTACCAAAGGTCCACAAGGATCTAAACAACCCACCCGGTCGACCAATTGTTGCCGGCACCAAATCAGTGTTTCAACCTTTGTCTATATTTTTAGACTCCTTACTACAGCCATGTGTATCAAATACCCGATCCTTTATTAAGGATACAACTGATTAGCTGTCTAAATTACATCAATTTGATGAAGTGAGCGAGGTGTCCTTTATGTGTACAATGGACGTTCGCAGCCTGTATTCCTCCATCCTACATAATGGGGGTATCCAGGCTGTTAGGCGACATATGAAATTACTTGAGATCAATGAGGCACAATGAGTTTGACATGGATCTCCTCAGGTAGTTACTTTATGAGAACTATCTTTTATATAAAGATAGTTATTACAAACAATTACGTAATGTTGCCCCATCGTACGCCAACCTCTTTATGGCTTGTTTTGAGGAGGACTTTGTTCATGTTTATCCCCTTTTCCGTTTTGTTAAATTATGATTCCGTTTCATAGATGATATTTTTTTTCTATTGCACGGACCTGTTGATACCCTTTTGGAATTTTGGAAGAGTCTCAGTCAATCCCCCCCAACTATCAAACTGACTCTGGAGTACAGTCCTTTACGGATACATTTCTTAGATGTGAAACTAAACAAGGAATTAAGTGAACTAGATCTAAACAGATCACACACATACTTAGAAAACACTGGCACGTTTTGAGTGAGGATACTGGTTTACAAGATCTATTTGGGAATGTCCCCATAATGGCTTTCAAAAACGCTAAGAATGTAAGGAAAAATCTTTATAAAATACATGCCAGAGCAAACCTGAAACAATTTGAACAGGAACATGGGTAACTCCCCGTAAAGGAATGTTCAAGTGTGGGAGGTGTATCAACTGTAACAATGCTATGAAGGCCAATTCATTCACACATCCAAGTCTAGGTTATAGGGTTGACTTAAAATCACATTAATGACATCAGACGTCGCGCATCCGCAATGATGTCTTTGAAAACCTGTAAGTTTCCCTACGTGCAAAATAGACCTATCACACTCTCACTCCCGGCTCCCCTAACACTCCTGCAAATTACTAGGCAATTATTACCCTACAATTTTAGTTAATGGGATATAAATAGGAATAGGAACCGTAAGGTTTAAGATCCCCCTTCGGGAAGGCTATTGCCGAAACGTTGGGGTTGCTGTATCTCCGTCTCTGGGTTAGTATTCCTATGCTATTATGGTTATGCGGGTTATTCCATGGAGCACTTATCTATCCATTTGATGTGTACAATAGGTATCTCATTCTTCATCTGCATGCCTTATATACTGTTTGCACTTTACTTGTACTATTCTTATCAAATTTCTACTTAATAAAATCTTTTTTATGTGCAAGACTAACTTGGTGTGCTTCGGATTTTTCAATATTATATGCATGAATCTGGTGGTGGAACAGATTTTTCCATATAGCACCCTGGTTCTTTTTATCATACCACTACCCTTATTAAGGTGAGCACTCACTATAAAATTTAGTATGCCGGATTGCAAAGCTAACTAATATCATTCATTCCTTGGGGCAGCTTCTAATTCTGCTATTTGATTTAAAGAATTGTCGCTAACTCCTCTTAAGTAGGTTTGAAGCACATCCCATAAGATGGGAATCTCAGATCATCCTAGGTTAGGGCACACCAAAGCTTCCACATTCATGGGACTCGCAGTTCCAGTATCCAATTTAGGTATCACAAGATGTACTTTCATTGTCCCTTCGACAGGGTAGGCCTGGGAACCCAATCCCCACAATTTCACATCATCTACCAGTGATATTGTGACTCAAGTGTTTATCATAAAAGAATCGAAAGTCTATGGCTACTTTGGATACAGTGTCCAACAAGTCCACGGCACGAATCCCTTTGATCATAAGGCTTATAAGTCATTTAGGGCCTGTTCTAAGATTACCAAGTATTCCCGGGTTCTTATTATGAGGGATTTTACTACTTGCTCTACTGAAATTCTTCTTTTTGGGGGGTTGAGGGAAGCCTCTGACGTGATTTGTTTCCAATTAACAGTCTGATGACACTGTCTGATGGTTTTATCACTATCT